CATTAATAACAACTTCAATAATATCTCCACGCCATGGCCAACCCTAAAAATCTAGTTCACGCTTTCCCAACCCTTCTCTTCGTCGCCTTAGTTGTCTCGGGACATACATCCGCGAGACCCCTAGACGGTGATAACGTCAGAGTGATTACTCCCGACGAGAAGAAAAACACGCCGCAAGTTGATTCACCAGTCATCTTGTCCTACGATCGCAATTACAAGGTAAGCGTGAAACCGGAAGAACAACCCGTGGTGGTCCAATCCCCCGCGGAGATCAAACATGTGGACCCAGAAAATTTGCCACATGTCATCCCGTCTAATCCTGACGAGAAGAAAAACGCGCCATCGGTAGATATACCCATTGTCATCTTGTCTAACGATAAGAAGGAACGCGCGGTACAAGAAAAAATACCCATTGTCATCCCGTCTTTAGGTGGGAAGGGGGCATCGGAAAAGTTGCCGGTAGTTATCCCGTCTTTTGGTGGGAAAGCAAGTGGCGGGGCATCGGAGAAGTTGCCAGTGGTTATCCCGTCTTCTGGTGGGAAGGCAAGCAAGGCATCGGAAAAGTTGCCGGTGGTCATCCCGTCTGGCAAAAAGCCACTTCCTCCACCTTCGGCCCTGAGCCCAGGAACCAATGGTGGTTCCTACTAGTCGGTGATTGATCGGCGTATAGTTTGTATTTGACGGGATGTTGATAATTTATTTGATTTAACTATGATCCATGTTTGGTTATTCCTGTATCGAAAAGGTAACGTGTGATATGAACACAATTTGACTCAATTTAACTAAGAATTTTACATTAATCTTGTGTCATATTTACACAATCTTCATTTTAATGTGATGTTGTGGTTCGGTTTAATGCTAATTTTAGAAGGAAAAGAATATTCAATTCATTTTGTTGAGCTTCTAGTTTGATTTTAATTAAGTATAAGTTGTACTAGGAAAAAACAATAGTAATTGGTTGAAATTGGATGGATATAACATGGAAGAATCACATGCACAATTTGGATGATTTCGCATCTAAACTGTGGATCAACACATAATTTTTTGAAACCGCCATATAGATAGGATTAGACATGGGCAAACCCCGATTCCAGGCCGATTTTTGGGCATGTTCCATATCAGAATAGCTGGTTTCGGGCCGGGATATGAAAGAACCTGAATTGGCCTGAACATATGCACGGTCTGGTTCACCGAACAGGCGGTTCAGGGCCGGTTCAACCCGGTTCCAAGCCGGCTCACTAAACCGGCGATTCGGAGCCGGTTCCACCCAATTTCGGGCCGGTTCACCAAACCTTTGGTTCAAGACCGATTCAATCTGGGTTTGGCCGGTTCTGAGCCGAATATCTATCCTCACTGAATGTTTGTTCAACCGTCACTGTTGAGGCTAGGACATCAAAAATCTCGTTGACTCTCGAGCATGGAATAGGATAAATAGGAGTCATCTTTGATCACCAATCAAAGACGTCAATTTTTTATGGCTGAACTGATTCATGAGTTATTGTAGTATCAAATTCGCCATGAGGTAGTGATCGAGCTCACTGTATCCAGTCCCCCTTTTGCCTTTTGCCTCTTAGCATTTTTGTAGGGATTAAAATTATCTTCCCACCAGCCACCAAAGTTTTCGGCATCCTTCATAGTCTATCCCATTGTCCATAAGAAGATGTCCGAAAGCAAAAGAAGAAAATGACGTCAGATTTTCCTCGAGTTCGATTGTTATTTACCTAAAGAATTCATACAATAAAAGTTTTGCTTGCTCGACGAGCTACCGTGAGTTAGGCCTTACACTAATTAATAGTCGGGACATCAGTGAGAAGTGAGAGTTGATCCATAATATTATATTATGTGTGAAGTTGGTTTAGCATGCAATTTTCACTAATGACGGATCTAATAAAGATGCAACTAAAATGTATCGAGAATGACAAAAATAATATTTTAACAATTTTGTTAACATATCTCTTACAAGTTCGTCGTGTTTGTCAAGATCACTAGCAAAATATCTCTAAAATCCTACGTTACGACTACACATTGACTTACAACAAGTTGAGAAGTATGATAATATACACCAAAAGTACGTTAGTAGCATCTTAAAATGTTTTGTTAAAAATTTCAAAAGTATTTAACAATCAAACCAATCAGAGACAACAAGTGTGACATCACAATCCTTACTTTGAGGATTCTTAAATAATTCATCTAATTGATAAAAAAATGCAAACGTATCTAAAAAAATTTTATATGTTGAGTTCCAATGAGTGGAAACGTCCCGTTGGAATTTTTTATAAGCTAGTTGATAGCGGATAAGTGAATTTTAAATTTATAGCTAATAGCTTATGACTTATATCTGAAAAACTAACTTGTATGATATAAGTGTTTAGTAAAATTAGCTGATAAGTCAATATTTCAACGAGCTTATTTGAAAAACTACCCAAAGAAATTTATGAGATAAGCTCGAGCGTTTTAAAAAAAATTGCCCTACCAAATCAAACTTATTTGTATACATGGAACTTATAAGCTAACCAAATAAACAATAAGCTAACTTATGGTGCTTACTAAACATACTTTTTATCACATAAACTAGTTTTTCAGACATAAATCATAAAGTATCAGTTATAATTAATTTATCAGTTAAATTTACCAAACATAGTCTAGTTTTATTTTTATCTTGACTAGTATTTATCGGTTTTGCTATAGAGCCAACAGTTGGCTCCATAATGGAGCCAACCTTCTATATACATCAATAAACTTACCATATTCATAAAATTATATTAGTGTTAAAATTATATTAGTGTTATTTAGGTAATCAAAGAATATAGTAAGTTTATTTTATGTATATAGAAGGTTGGCTCTACTATAGAGCCAACTGTTGGCTCCATAGAAAAAACGAGTATTTATAACCCAATGTTATGAACTTCCAAATCAGACAAAAACATGAAAAAAAAATAAAATCAAAATGTGTGCTTTGGGGAAAAGCGCGTAGATAATCTGACTAGCAATAATTACCACCTTTCTCCTGTCTCTCTCAATTATGTAACGCTGACTTTTTATTTGAAAAATCAACACCCAACCCAACTTTTTCCATGTTTTCGTACTTTTTCATATTCTCCTCATTAAACCCCCAAAAAGCCCTCTCTAAATGGAAGCTCATTTCTCATTTTTGCTCAAATATCATCACAAAACCTTGATTTCACAAAATTTCCTCTCAACGTTACATGGCCAACCCTATAAAGCTTCTTCACTCTTTCTCTATACTTCTCTTCATTTTCATCATCCTTTCGGAGTCGACATCTGCTCGACCGTTGATTATGAATCTAAGAACACTTGATTTCATTAAATTAACCAAAATGTTACCTCAAGAAATGAATAATGCGAATCGGAGGGGCGAAAGTTCCATGATTACGCAATCTCGTAATGATTCAAAGGTGGTAAATGTCGAAGCTAGTCGCAGAATTTATAAGCTTGGACCGGCATTTGGGCCATCTCTCATGAACATGTTGCCTAAAGGAAATATTCCTGTGTCCGGCCCAAGCAAGAGAATCAACGACATTAACAATTAGCTAGCAACGAACGGATTAATAATCTGCAGGTTATTATCAATTTTTTTCATTTTTCTATTGGAAATGTAAATTAAACTATGGTAGAGTACATTTGTGAGTTGTGTACTTTCTTGAATTGTTGCTAGTAATCTTACATTCAAGTTTGACCTAGGTCATTATCTATTAAATCCATATTTGTTCTAATTTGCCCTATAGGATATCATCTTTAAATGTAGTTTTCTAAGTAATTTGATGGGTCATCTAAACAATTATATTTCTTAATTTATTTTCAGTCTTGAATTGTTGAGGTGGCATGGGTGAACTTCACCTTACAATCACCAAACCTGAACACAATTGGTCTTGAAACGCCTGAGTAATAATATCATTAATTGTGGCCAACTTTTAGTTATACAAAAGACACATAAACTTTATGGCTCAAAATTCAACTTCTTCTCTTCACCTCATAAAATCCACCTGTTTTCCTTTAGAGTGATGACTGGCGAGGACCAACTTAAATGGTCCGGAATATATCGATTTTGCTTCAGCATAGTCAGCGATTTTTTTTTTTTTTTTTTTTTTTTAATTTCTCTTTGCTTTTTCCTTTTCTTTCTTTAGTCATTTAATTACTTATACACATTTTTAAATTACTAATGAAAATGTATAATATTGTTGTCCAAGTATTTTACTTGTGTATGCCAATTGAGTAAAATATAATTTTCTTGTATTATCCATTTAAAAGAATAGTCATATTATTAGTTGTAATATCTTATTTCGTATATATCATGAGATATCTTCTGATACATTATCTAATTGTTAGACGGTCATACTCTTTTAACAAATATACATAATTTATACCAATTAAAATATTATACTTAAAAACAATATAAAAAAAGGTACTGTATAATATTTTATGGTATTAGTACACGATTTTAATATGTAAGTACGATAGCTTAACTAACACTAGACAGTTTAACATCATATTATCTCAAAAGCTGGTTTAGGAAAAAAAAAAACACAAAAAGAAACACAAAATCCCCTTAATTTGGTGCAAATGTCTATACTTGCATTAATTTGGTGAAATATTCAGTTGGACATGTCGCTTACACATTATAACACCTAGCGTGAAAGAGAAAACCAATAGAAATATATGTATACAATAATCTTCGTCTCTTGTTATGAAGGGATGAAAGTTGTATTAAGAAATATATGTATACAATAATCTGTATGTACCATTTAATTCATTTTATTTGTTTATTGGGAAGGCTGCATTAAATATTGTCAATTGAAATGTTTATATTGTTCATTTTTATAACCAGTTTCATTTTAGATATCGTTTTATGAAATTTTTCTTAACTGATATCACTTCTCCTCATAGTTATCTTTCACCATAGGTTTATTTTGAAACTTAGAACAGTTAAGTAGGGATTAATTGAAAGATTATGCTGATATTTAACTCGAAGAAGGAAAAAGAAAAAACAGTGTTTCCAAAGTCCAAAATCAAAAGATATATATCTCAAGCCCATCGATACTTAGTAGGCTTTTTGCCTACTCTTGTCATTTTAAGTAATGGGCCTGGTCTGTCTATAAAGTCGTTTCCCCAGTTGCTTTGTTGTCTAAAATCTAAAGATATGTATCTAAATTTTTAAGGAAAACAATAAATGAAATGCTCCTACTATGAAAATATATTGAGGATTCAATTTGAATCCCTCGCAAGATTTCAGAAAAATAACAAGAATTAATTGTTATTCTTTTATTTTAGAATAGAGTGCATTGCTTGTAAACAACGATATACAACACTAGTGAGACTGCGCCCATTTGAGGATGCCAACAAGGCAACAACGATATATAATTGATATAATCAATCTTTATTTCATATATGTTGACGATGTTATGTTTAAGACCATTAATCAATATATTATACAACCTATATATATGTTTGGGCTATTGTGAAAAGTTGTTAATATTGAAAGAATTAATACATAATAGTTATAGGGTCTAATCATCGTCAACATATATGAGATAATGATCGATCATATCAATTACCTTCGATCAAGTGCCAGTTCTCCTATATTTTTGTTTATATAAGCAAATTTTAGTATGAAATTACGCATTAGTTACATAGGTTGATCAACAACCAGAGCCGACCCTGGCCCATGGCAGCATGGGCGATGGCCCAGGGCCCAATTACATTGAGGGGCACCATCATCAGCCCATACACTTTAAATATATGTATACAATATACATATCTAATACTATATGTAAAGTGGAGTAGAGTGTAATTATTGAACTCAATTTGACATTGACAAGCCTACAATTTAGCCTTTAAAAGATGATTAAAAAAATGTGCGATAAAGTGGAAAAACACAGAACACAAACTAATCAATTCCCTCCTCAAATGTTCGTCTTCTCTATTTTTTTTCATTCGCCAAATTCTAATAGCCCCAAATTCTAAGGATAAGTAAATTAATTTTTAAAATTATAATGGCCCTTTCAGTCTTTGTTTTTTTTATTCACCATTATTCCCTCTATTTTTTTTTTCTCCACATCAATTGTTCAACCATTAACAAAATTATCAATCACTTCCAACATGTTTAGAGATTTCTTGAATGTTTTCTTTATTTTGAGAAAATTCACCTATTCTATTAGTTTATGTTGTTATCTAATTGAAAAAAAAATTGGACCGGCAATGAATCAGTTTTCAATTTTTCCTTTGACTTGTTTTTGTGTTTTTTTCTTCTAGAGTTGGAATTGAATTTACTTAGTTTATTTGCAAATTAGAAATTAGGGCATATGAATTTATCATAGATGGAAACTGGAATTAGCACAGCTACAAACTTAAATTTTGGAGATTGGGGTTTATACATTTATTTAATTATTTCAATGTTTGGATTTGAGAAGTCTATTGCTGAATGGTTCTTATGAAAGAATGGTGCTTTACAAATTAGCTATTCTATGCATCGAAAAAGATATTAGTGAAAATTTAGATTATAAAGATATAATTGATGATTTTGCATCTAAAAATACTAGAAGAAAATATTCAATTCTTATTATTTTTTTAAAAAAAATTATTTTATTTTTAGAGTAAATAAAATACTTGGGGTATGATTTTTTGTATTTTGCGGGCCCCAAAATGTTCAGGCTCTGTCAACAATAAAAATAAATATTTATATTATTAAATTTCATACATAATATTTATGATAACTGGACTAATAAAATGATACTCGTATATTCGTTTTATATATGCCGTGATAAGATAACCCAGTCCTGACAAAAATATCCGGTCAGATTTTTGTTAGTCACCGATCACTGAACAGTAATATCCTATCCAAAGCTACAGTGCGAGAAAACTCAGAATTAATTATAAGAAAAAAAAGTGTTTTTTTTTTTTTTTTCAAAAAGAAAGTGGCCCCCAACAAGTTTTATATATGGGTTAGGGGGGCTGCTGTGACTAACTTATAGCAGCAGCAGCCTAGCTTTGTTGAATCTCCTCATCTCAAAATTTCTTCATACTTTAGCAAAATTTTCCCTTTCCTTTCTCTTTTTATTCCGAGGGAGAGGCTATTGATTTTCGCCCATGGCGAAGGTTATTAAAAATTATGTTTTGGCGATGCTCAGAGGAATTGTTTTTGTTCATTTATTAGCCTCAGTGGCGGTCGGCGCTAGGGTGCTGCCCACTCACCCTTACTTGGACGGGCGAGAAAAACCCGTCGCCAACATTTTTGATACTTCAAAATATGGGATTTTTCAGCTGAGTGACGGTTTGGCAAAAACTCCTCAGATGGGGTATGGCAAGATTTGACCTTTACATTAAATTTTGTTCTGTTTTTTAGTGTTTTTAATTGGTTTTGATCATTTTTTACTTTTATCTGGGATCTTTGGTTGTGTTCTGTAAGGTTTAGTGGGATTGTGGTTGAAGGGAACTAGTAGCATCTATCCTACTGTAGTTTTCGCTTGTTAATTTCTGCTAGTGTCTGGGTTTGTTAATTGAGTGGATGGAATGATAAATGCTCTCGGTTCTAGTTTAGTTGGGGAGTTTTAGAGAATTGAAAACTTTTAAGGGGTTTCTTCTTAGATTTTATTCAGGAAATTTTATCGATAATTAATTTGTTTGTCTTGTGGATCAGATGGAGCAGCTGGAATTTTTTTGCCTGTGATATCAATGAAAAAGTTATCAAGGAAACAGGTGAGGTAACTGCGTTCATTTGTTGCAATTTGTTTGATAACTCGTTGAAAGAATGTTTACTTGTGTGCTCAACAATGCTTGATAAAGGGATCAATTGGAGGTCATTTTTTTGTTATGTGTACTGTTTTCTCCTAATTGTATGAACTACGATTCTAGTCGTCTAGAGAATCTTGCTTGAGATTGTTTGTGTATGTGTATTCTGCTCTTTCTTTTGTTTCATTTTCTTTGACAATTTAAGAGCAAGAATTCTGAACTTTTGCATGAGACTAACCTCTTCTTTTGCATAACTTGACAGCTGATGCTCTCGTTTCTACTGGCTTAGCCAACTTAGGTTATAACTACGTGAATATTGGTAACGTAACAGATTTGTCTGCGTAATTTCTTTACTTTATGGATTCATGCTCCTTTAACATCATTTTCTTGTTAATTAAGATCCCTTACATCATAAAACACAGATGATTGCTGGTCTGAACTGGTACGAGACTCAAAGGTAATGAGCATTTTAATCTCTTTTTATTTTACGCATGAGCATGTTAATTGCCATGAATCTTGTTTTTATTTTTGTATTATGCTAATGTGCTTAGCCGAGCAATGTGCAGGGTCAGCTAGCGGCTGAAGCAAAAACTTTTCCGTCGGGAATTAAATCTCTCGCTGATTACGTGCATTCAAAGGGCCTGAAGCTAGGTATCTACTCAGATGCAGGGTATGATTAATTTGTTATCATCTGACCCAATTAAACACAACTTACACTTTTATTTTTATTAGATATTACATGTCTGCTGTTATCCCTGGTTCTTTTTCTTGATTCACAGCTTTCCTTATTTTCTGCAGGGCTTTCACGTGTCAAGTTCGACCTGGATCTCTTTTTCATGAATTAGATGATGCAAAACTCTTTGCATCTTGGGTGAGTGTGTTTTTTCCCCTCTATCCATTTTGTAATCTTGAACTTGTCTCCAACGTAAAAGTTAATGGGGGAACTCCATTTCTTATTAATCACTTCGATGGTGAATGTATGAATTGGAATTTTATCAAAGTTAACTTATTAGAAAGTAAATACATTCTTTCTTGGTTCAGTGACTATTCTTCTTTATTTTGCGACTCAAATACATCTTTTTCGATGTTTGTTCTAGGGAGTCGATTACTTGAAGTACGACAATTGTTTTAATCTGGGACTTGAACCAGAAAAGAGGTGTGCCTAAAATTAATTACATGTCCAAGCATCAAATCAAATCAATGTTCTTGATTTAATTATAGAGCTATGAAAAAATTCAGGTATCCACCAATGCGTGATGCCCTCAATGCAACTGGACGTCCAATATTCTATTCACTTTGTGAATGGTAAGCCTCCTTTAACTCTCTACTTTTTCTATTTGCTCTTCTTCTGAATCTTGATTTGCTTACTAAATTTTTCGGTCTTGCTTTGTTAAAAATACTGGCAGGGGTGTTCATGATCCGGCTTTATGGGCAGGCCAAGTCGGACACAGCTGGCGAACAACGGATGACATTAACGATTCATGGGCGAGGTTTTGAACCCTAAACTAATGTTCTAATATTTGTCTCCTCTTAAACCAACTGATAATTACCATCACTAAATAACCACCTTTTTATATCATATTTTACCAAATTTGCATTTTACTTGTGGAAAAAGTTCATACTGATGGGCTTATTATACTCTTTATGTTTAGCATGACAACAATTGCTGACATCAATGATAAGTGGGCATCATATGCGGGACCTGGTGGATGGAATGGTAGGATTTTGCATAGGTTTAAACTCATTTATATTTTGCATCCCTCATGATTTTATAGATTTTATTTTATTTTGTTTCTTTTGGCAGACCCTGATATGTTAGAAGTTGGAAATGGCGGCATGAGTTACCAGGAATATCGAGCACATTTTAGCATTTGGGCCTTGATGAAGGTGCTCTAAATTTATGCACCGATGATAGAGCATTTTGGTTTTCTTTGATCTACATTTTGATCAGTTCAAGNTTTTTTTTTTTTTTTTGGTCCAGGCCCCACTTATTATCGGATGTGATGTTCGAAACATCACCTCAGAGACACTTGAAATTCTTGCTAATGAAGAGGTTATTGCTGTGAATCAAGGTAAGCAGCTGTGTCAGCTAGTGATCTCAGAATTTGCAAGTCGTATATAGATACATATATTATGTGATTTTTATTCTGCTTGACTGCTTGTAGATCCTTTGGGAGTTCAAGGAAGGAAAGTTTATTCCTACGGGCCCCACAGTTGCTACCAAGTATGAGAACCTTAAAACATTCTCCCTTTTTCTTTGTACTTCTCAGCAAGTCTCTTTTTACTATGACGATTGACGATTCAATTTGTTTTTTCAGGTTTGGGCTGGCCCACTTTCCAGTCAACGTTTGGCCGTTGTTCTGTGGAATAGATGTTTGAAAACTGCCACTATCACGGCCAAATGGGCCGTACTCGGGCTCGAGTCTTCCGTGCGTGTATCAATTAAGGATTTGTGGAAGGTGCGTTGAATTTTTTTTCGAGACAATTTACTCAGATCTTGTGTTTGTAACCTGATAGAACTGAGTTCTTAACGCCTGAATGATTTTGTCTTTTTACTGCAGCACGAATATGTTTCGAAGGACAGCGTGGCCTTGTTCAGTGCTCGAGTAGATGGTCACGCTTGTGAAATGTACATTTTTACGCCGGAAGCTGCAGCCCACTCGACAAGTTAAGTTCAAGGCCCGGTTTCAGTTTCTTCTCGATTTGACCATTCTGGCTCGGTTGGTGCAATTAGAAAAAATTGAGAAGTCATTGGCTATGCATTCATGAGTTGAGTGAAAGCTATAGAATGTTAGTTTATTAACTTATTTCATACTACCATCTCTCAGTTTATTAAGAGAGTTTGTTGGTCACAAATAAGCAGTTGTGTAGTTTGTGTTGTACCATAAGAGTGTGCTGTTGTTGTATCTTGATTTTGAAAAATGGGAAAGGTAATTGAAGATTTTGATTGCCTCATAAAACATTCCACAGTGAAAGAAAATGATGAAATAGAAACATAAAAGCAATAGAAGAATTTATATATGTCTGGATCACCAGAGAATGCAAACACCACCAGATAAAATTCTATAAATAACATAGAACCCAAAGCAGTTGAAAGCACTATAATCCGTGTTTAGTTTAGTTTACAGTGGACTTGAGTTCCAACAGAAACAAAAACCTTAAACTCAGTTATCAAGAGGAACTGGCTAAGGACTCGATTAGCAGTTGATAACCCTCAGGCACTATAGCCTGCACCTGCACACACCCAGCCAATGCCGGCACATCAGCATTCACGTCCAAGAACCTCGCGAGCAAAAGAAGCAAGTGGAAATCAGAAATCCGCTTCACAAACGGCAGGTTTTTGGCTCGGTCAAGATGGGTTTTCAATGACCTCATCGTTACAGGTGTTTGCCTGTTCTCGATGGGAAATGTTGATGAAAGCGGGCCCTGCATTGTAGAAAAGCTCGTGTCAAATGAAGTGTGTAAAAAGCTTATCAAACACGAATAAATCAAGGAAAGACTCAGAAGAAAAGCAAATAGTACAAGATCCCGCGAAATACATCACTCCTTCAAACCAATCTAACCCCCACAACTGGCTGATGTGGCCGCCAGTTGATAACTCCTTCAAACCAATCTATCCCCCACAACTGGCTGATGTGGCCGCCAGTTGATAACGCTGCCTGTAGCACGTTTACATGAAACCCTAATGTTCTTGAAGTTTCTCATATGCCATCAGAATATACCGATTCGGGTAGCTTTCCATCTAAACAAAGTAATGATCATGGGATTATGGTGCATAGGAATTTAGCAACAACTACAGAATTTAGGGGGAAAAAGAACAACGCATTCTTTCATCCAGTTCTGCAGACTCAACTATGAGCTAGTGAATTAGATACCCACTCTTCTTATGGTAAGTCTGTTAAAAAATCTAATTTTTATAAAGATTAGAAAGAGAAACTACACAACATACACGTGCATATATATACACATATATGCTGTGAGGCTAGCTCATGCTCATGCAAGTCTTCTGTATGGTGGCCAAACCATTTTACGTTTTTAACATAGGCTTGAATCTCATTCCTTTCCCCTCTGGCCTCTACAATAACCAATCCATGTAAACTAAAACTCTGCAATAAACTTGTACTCTTCCATTGCCTAATCATGTGAACACAATTAATCAAACATGAGCTCTATTAACCTAGTACATGGAGCCCAAGACAATCATGACATGAAAAACTCCAAAAGCTAATAACACAGGAAAAACAGAAGCCAATAATAAAAAAAAGCAACATCTTCACTAACCTGATGATCGAAAATCTTGACAACCACCAAGAAGAAATCGTTGTCCACTTCCCTCACGTCCTTTCCCCCGACCACTACATCCTTCTTCATCCTCGACAGCTTGGGATCCATATCCTTCGGTACATCCCGTTCGAACCAGTCTTCTTTAAACAACCTCACACACATATCACTCATCTGAAAAGCCTCGAAATGCACATCGGCCCCACCATCCTCATTCACCTCCAGTTTTACAATGGCAGTCACCCACTCCTTCAAATCCCCCTCTGCCTGAAGCTCGGCAGCTTGCAAGACCTCAGTGCTCGACATAGTGTAATCCTTCTTGTCCTGACTAACTGTCTGCGTGAATATAAACCCGACCCTTCTCATCCCCAACCCCAAAGCTATGGCCTCGACCAGTTTCTCCTCCTCCGGGTCCCTTAGCAGTATCAGATTTTCTTCTGTTCCCTGCTGTGGAGGCTCGTAAATGAAATCAACCTCGACTTTACCCTCATCGGACACTGTGCCGTACATGAAACCCCCGCGCTTGACTGCAAAGGCTAGGGTTTCGTTCACGTAGTGCTGGAAGGCATTTGCAGTGTCCCGGTCGAAGGAGACGAGCTCGCAGTGTGGGTTCTCCTGGCGTGTGATCCTCATCTGCTTCGCGATCAGGTCGTCCATGGTCATCTTCTTGCCGAAAGAGCCCGCGGGGTGGAAGGCCGGGCCGGCCACGGCCCGCTCGCCCTCGTAGGCCAGGTAGACGATGGATCCGTGCGCGATGTTGAGGGAGGATAGGAGGGAGTTCGGATCGGCCATGTCGGCGAACCGGGTCCAGTCGGCCGGGTTCTTGGCGAGGAGCAGCTTTTGGTCGGTGGAGAGGGTCTGGGCCGAGATGGGGACACGGAGCTGGGACTGGATTTCGGATTTGAGCTGCGCCACGGTGGAGGTGAGGGGGTTGTCGATCGAGACGCGCTCCAGGCCATCGCGGCTTCTGATTCTGATCATCATCTTCGTTCAGATTAATTGAGAAATATTAACAAACAGTTGGTGGGCTTTGGTTTGATGAACTGAAATATATAATGCACACGAATCAACAAGACAATTTTAGGGAAAAATTAGTGAAAAGGGTAAGGAATTGTATACCCTAACCCCGTGAAAATTTATTGGAATTAGGTTGGAGAAAGTAGGAGATTAAGTATAAAAAGAGTCTGGAGTGAGGAAGCACGAATCTATTTTTCCTTCCCTTTTTTCCTTGAATAAAAAATTGTTTTTTTTTTTTAATTTGATAAATTTGTAAAAAGTCCCCAAAATAAAACAAACAAACTCATAAAATCTCCACCATGTTCACAACGCTCCACCTTAAACCCTCAATTCCCTTCACCTCCCTTACCCCCAAATCCCTAAAACCCGCAACAAAATGTTGCAAATCGGAGACTCCGCCGGAGACCGAGCGTGGCTTCACCTTCGACGTCGGCAGCACCTTCTTCCGCCGCGAGAGCTTCACCGGGCGCGATCTCGGCGTGCTCTCCGCCGCCGTCCACAGGCAATCCAGTAACTCCCTCAGGGTGCTCGACGCAATGTGCGGCTGCGGGATCCGTTCGATGCGGTACCTCGCGGAGGCCGGCGCCGACTTCGTGGTGGCCAACGACGCGAACCACGAGTACGGCGGCGTCATCTCCAGTAACTTGGAGAGGGCATCGGGCGGCGGCGGCGGGATGAGGAGCTGGGTGGTGAAGCACATGGAGGCGAATCGACTTCTGACCGAGTGCTATCTGGAGAGGGATTACTTCGACTTGATCGATGTGGACTCGTTTGGGAGCGAATCGAGTCACCTGAGGTCGGCACTGTGTGCCGTGAAACTGGATGGGCTGCTGTACGTGACGTCCACCGATGGGTATACGTCCGGCGGCCACCGGCCCCAACAGTGAGTTGAATTTAGTTGCAAATGGGTGTTTTTTTTTGCTCGCTTTAGCTTATCAGTTAATCAAGAAGTTGGCTTTTGGTTTATTTGTATGGTTTTGGCTGTTAAGTGGATGAGAAGCTAGAACAGAAAAAGCTAATCTGTAAGTATTAATGCACATGAAACATTGCAGAAGCTGCTTTTGGTTAAGCTCAAGTCAATATGTAAAACCTGCTTATGTGAGCTGAAGTCATGTGCATGTGTGTCTGTTGCTTACTGTGGAAATGTACAAATTTGAGAGAAATTCAGTAATTCTGCATTGACAGTGTTCTGAATGGAAATGTATAGACAATCACTCCTCTTTTCGACTTGACTCTCTCACGCCTCTTTTGGTTAAGAAAGACCATGACTTGCCCAATGCCCACCCATTGACAATAATTTCTTACTAGGATGAAAATATTTGTTTCTGGATAACTGGTATTTAGTGTAGTGTGTCTGAGTTCCTATGGCCTTATCGGTTTAATCACAAAATCTCCACTTAAAGAAGTGATTTTTTATTCTAGTTATTAATTAATTAATTTATTTTGCCTTACAGTTCTTTGGATGCATATGGAGCATATGTCCGGCATATGCCATACTCAAACGAGATTGGGTTAAGAATGCTTATAGGCGGGGCTGTGCGGGAGGCCGCTGTGTTGGGGTACCACATTTTGCCACTTTTCTCTTACTACTCATACCACGGGCCTGTGTTCCGTGTGATGCTTCAAGTTAGGCGTGGCAAAATGCCCATCACAAGGTCACAGAATCCTTTCTTTCCTCCAAACTGCTCCTTTTTGTTTAGAATCTCGGCTATTTCCTACCTTCCCCGCCTGTTTTTTGTAGGCATTATAGTTTCATCAGCTACTGCAATCAATGTGGAAACTCCCGAGCATTCTCATGGGATGAACTTGGTGAAATGAGGTGCTCTTGCAATGGTGTATGTTTTTTGCAACTCCTCCGAAAGGGTTATCTCATAATCTTTTTTGTTTAGAAGTCTTCTACTATTTCCCGATAAATGAACTACCTTTTTCAGGCCTTAGGTTCACTTGTGGTTTCTGGGCCCCTCTGGACAGGACCCCTTCACTGCTCGTCTTTTCTTACGAAGATACTGAACTTGGCCGAGCTATGGGGTTGGACGGGTAATGGGAAGATTGGGACACTTTTGAAAGTAATGATTGACGAGAGTGATGTTTTATTGCCCTTTGGGTACACCAAAATAGACGAGGTATTCGTATAATCTTGTGACAAAGGTTTCACTTTTTCATATTAAATGCAGCCTCGACTGTGAAATTAACTCTCTTAAACTGTATCAGATTGCAAGTCGAGCAAAGGTTAATTCACCTCCAATAAACACACTGATGCATGCCCTGAAAAAGGTTGATTCAAATGTTTATTGTTGATGCACTTGATTGATAGATAATTGTCCAGAGTTGGGGATAGAACTCCTCCTGATTTTGATTTTTCATTACAATTGTGTTTTCACTTGTGGAGCTTGATTCCAGGAAGGGTATGCTGCCACTAGATCACACATAGCATCAGCAGCAATCAAGACAAATTGTCCAATGGTTGATTGTGTGAGGATTGCGAAAGAACTCCAATGCTTTTCGGTGACTGCTTAATGATAAGGTTTCAAATTTTACATAATACATCCACTTAGAAATTGGGTATTTATGGACTCCAAACTCAAAAGATGCCTCCTGGTGACGATGCTTTACGAAAGAGGAATTTGAAGGATGACCAGTCTTACCAATTTATGTTGCTAAGAATGAAAGAAAGGTAACAGAACACTAGTTTCTAGTTTTGGTGGTCTGTCACTAGTGTTGAAATAGTTGATAATGTGTTTTCTTTGTGTTGATGATGAACAGGGTTCGATTTCATGGCAAGAAGGATAAGTGCACAGACTTGTAAATTTTGTTGCCATGAAGTTCATTCAAACAAGAACCATGATGGCAAATGGTTCAAACTTCAAAGTAGTCCTTGTGTGGCAAATTCTTATTTTCTTCTTTTTGCCTTTCCTTGTGGAGATTTTGTATTTTGACCAAAAATGTAATATACCTATTACAGTGTTTAAGAAAAACTGAAAAAGTATTTAACCTCTTTCAGTTTTTGTCACCCTTTATTGGTTTGGATGATGGAATCTGCTTCATAATGTTTGTGTCTAATATACCTATTTGCATATAACAGGAAAATATGTCTCTACTTGGGTTTATTTTAAAGCATGGTATTTGGTCGCACAAAGTTCCAAACTATTTGGATCGGAATGATTAGGAGATGAAACAGAATGCAAAGGCAACAGGATAGAAACAGAGTTTACAAATTGCAAATTGACTGAAGGTTCAAAATGCAAATCATCACAAAACCTAAATCCCCTAAAGAAATTCACAAATTGTGTCACTATAGCATAAAACCCATCACTAAGCATAATGAAAAAAGGAGAGTCTATCAAGATCAGGCTTCATATTATCAAGTCAGTCAGAAAGCAGAGGATTCACAAATTGCCCAACAAAGAGCACAACACCACTGGTCTCCTCCCTTATTACAAAGAGGAAAGGATGGTCAGCTACAAAGTCAAACAAGTCCTCGCGCCTGTACCTCCCACATCGAAACGTGACGACACAAGCAGAAACTGCTGCAGCCTCAGTTCCCTGTTCGTCCACCTCTACGTATGCCTTATGAAAAAAGAGCGAGATTTCGAGTGGAGGAATATTCGGGGAAGAGTAAACCATCTCGGTCAAACCACCGCGAAAAGGGAGAACCAATCCTTGCTTTTTAAAAAACTCCGAAGCCTCAAAATCGAAGCTTATTTTAAACTTGGGGAGACGAAAATCCCCCATTTTCACTCTTTGACGTGGCGTGTGGTGCTCTATGAACCCAGAAATCGAGCCGAATTTCTCGACGAGCGCCTGCAAGCCATCCCTGGCATTGGGAAGAAAGAAGTACATGGAGAATGCCTGCGTGTCCTGACCCCTTTTGTACGGTAGCTTCAGAACCTTCAAATCGTCAAAGGCGAGGGCGAACTGGTCCTTGGAGCTGGTCATGAAGGGGACGCGGACAGAACTTCCGTTCAAGAGGAAAAAGTCGCCGACTTTGGTTAGAGACGGGTCGAATTTTGAATGCCAGGCTCCTTTGAAGTAGAGTGCATTTGCAATGATGAGCGCAGTTATACTAGTGACTGAGTTGGGTGGGAGCAGATTTTTATCAGACCATTTGTTTTCTCCTCGGCCCAAGCATTCACTTCTTCTCTTACCACATCAAACTGAAAAAAGGAAAATGAAATTAATTAAAGAGTTGGTACATAAATTAGAGGTGACAATTGCTGGCACGATTTGTCATAGGAAGGGAAAAAGGGGACACACGATTCAAACTAAACACAAAATATATGAGGAAATCAACTGTACTATCGTTAATCGAAAATCCTAAATCCAATTGGTACGAAGTTACGAAACCTAACCTGATTCCGAAAATCGACGTGACCTAGAGCGCTCCGATAAGTAGTCTCGACGATTTCTTTGAAAGCGGGCTTCAGGACAAGGCTGCGTTCGACCCAAACCCGGTTGGCGAAGGACATGTAAGGGCCGCCTAGCGGCCCGCCGTCGGCTAGCAGCCAGGTGGCGATCTGCGACGATAGGGAATTAAGCTCCTCGATCGAATCGAACATGAGGTAGCGCAGGAGCTGTTCGCGAGCAGGGATGCCCGACCCGGCCGCGACCATGGCCAGCACGACGTGAATTGAGAGGGGCGAGAATACAAAGTTGCTGTCCTTGACGTGGGTGTTGTCGTCCTTGACGTGGGTCGAGATGAGGTGCTTCGCGAGCCACGAGGAGAAGTCGGTTTGAGCGGCGATTGACTGCAGGAAGGCCATTGTTAGTTTCTCAAAATAATTGGCGGAGATGTAAGTTTTTATTCCAATCAAAATCAACCAACTAAACGAGTCATATAAATAGAACTTCGCTGCGCTTCTTTCTTCTCTGCGGTGACCACTGAATAAAGCCCAATTAAGATTATACGGTTTGTTATGAAGGCAACAATATAGTGGAGCCAACCTTCTATATACAAGAAATAAATCTACTATATTAATAAAATTATATTAATGTTATTTAAGTAATCAGAGAATATAATAAATTTATTTGTTGTATATAGAAGGTTGACTCCACTATGGAGTTAACTGTTGACTTCATAACAAAACTTAAAATTCTATACATTGCTTATTGGGTTGTTTTAATAGTGTGTACGACTCTCGCAAAAAAGAAAAAAATAGTGTTTACGACTTTACGCCTCCATGTGCAGGTTATGGTTTTCGGACTTACTCTATATATTTATATATATATATATATATATATATATATATAATAAGTTTATATATTCCTATAAATTAGGATTTTGTTTCAATATTAAATAGAAACATAATGAATTGAAATTTCAAACGACATTATCATGATAAATAACTTGTCTGGCAAGAAAAAGACTTGGAAATAAATATGATGTAAGACAAATAAATATTATCCTACCAAAACTATAATGCAATTATTAATAATAAAGAAAATAAGTAATTAAGATCTGAACATTTTATGTAAAATATCAAACTACCTTCAACTTTTTTTTATCATTATTTTTTCCACAATGAATTTGGAAGAATTGTATACACGCCCCCAACGGGACGTGATTTATAGGGCCCACCATATCAAACTACCTCTAACTTTTTTTTTATCATTATTTTTTCCAATTTTTTCAGTTTTCTTTCCAATTTCTCTTAATTTCATTGTTCCCACTAAATAAAATGCTTCTTTAATTCTTGTTTCGAACATTTCATGGTAATTTCTAAGCAATACTCAGATATATAAAATGATTGGATGTAGATTTAAAAAAAAAAAAATCGAAAGCAGTTAATATATTTTTTATATTACATATTATTGTAAGGTTTATGTGTAAAAAATTTCACTTAATATTATTTTTCTATTGAAATTTTAATTGTACGTATAATATATTTATTATGATATATAATAAATATGTTATTGTAAAAAATTATGAGTAATGTTTTTAGTAAATATGAATCAAATTGATATGTAAATTAAAATAAGTTGGAAATATGTGGGGCCCACTAGAAGAAAGTTACTGAGGTTTATGATTATTGGAAGTTTGTGACATGGTGAGTAAAAATGAGGTTCAGATGACGTTGAGTATTGGAAATGTAAAAAAGTAGGTTTATTAAACCTTGTGAATAAAGATGTTCTAAAAGGAGAAACCAAGAGCTGCATTTTCAAACTGAAGAAACAAACACTTCCACAGAATAAAACAGATGAAGCATCTTATAATATCCATATTCATCCCATGGGGAAAAAAGAGTTTAAAATTGCAGCCCAACATGATAGAATCAGAAATAACAAACATGTTCAAATAAGTATCCGACAGTGTTTACATATTGACCATTCAGACTGGTCATTCTTGAAGCAATGCACGGGCCTTTCTCACCCAAACATCGTAAATCTCATCCAAGAACAGAACAAAATGCACCTGAAATGCAAAATTTGATGGTAATGATTACTGTCGCTAGCAAATTTGTGAAAAAGAGATCAAAAAGTAGCATTCTTTCACGAACATATAATTCTTAAATTCAATACTCACAAAACCTGGCATTTACAGGTGAAAATATCTAGCAGGAAAGATAAAGCAAACGTTACTTCCATTCCCAAATCCAAAACACAGCACAAAGATTCCGGAAAATTTAGATTCAAATACAACTGATAAAAGTNAAAAATACCTCTTTGAAGTCCCCTGCAAATTCCTTGACTGTAGATAAGGCCACAGTTGCAGCTTCATCATAAGGATAACTGCAACCATAAAACATGAAACAATGATAATTCAATTTACGATAGGAAATGAACATAATTAAAACATCAAAAGCAAGTAAATTAGCATTTGTATTCCTAACTCCAGTACCATCTTTCTTTCCGACCAAGCATGCCATCCTAGGAGTTACTATGTATATATTAAAATTCGGTTGTGCTAAATAGTTCATTGAAACGTTGCCCAGTAGTACAAGAGATATGAATTTCTCAGTAGCAATATGACAAAAGAAAAACTGACGTAGTAGTAAAGGATCTCCATCTCCTATATGTTAAATTACAGAAGGAAGCTTCTCGTCGGTATAAAGAATACAACCGAATGGACATTGTTGTGGTTGATTATTAAATAAGGAAATTGTGAATATTAGACATAAAATTCATTTGAGTTTATAATTATACAGGCTGACTTCTATTAATTTGAACAGGTAAATATAAATTTCTGCAAGAAATAACAACCATAAACTTCAGTAAATGATAATCAACTGACATACCCATACACCCCACATGAGATAGTAGTAAATGCAATGTACTGAATGTTGTGTTCTTTTGCCACGCGTAAACTGTTTCTGCATCATGTCCAATCAAGCAAGATGAGTGTCCACTAATAACTAAACTTAAAGAAGTAAAAGAAAACACGGGCCCACAGAAAGTTCGACTGGGTATACCTGTAAGCATTTCTCAAAGAGGCTTCAGGGTTCCCATCCACATTGTATATCGGGCCAACTGTATGAATCACATAAGAAGCTGGCAACTTGAAGCCTCTACAAATTTCAAAATACCAGCTTAGCTCATATTATTATTAAAAATAACGAACACAATTGTATAAGAATGTAAACTTTATCTCATACGGGGTAATCCTAGCTTCTCCTGTTGGACATCGAACTCCAGGCTTTACTTCTGGGACCTTATAACATGCTGCCCGTAGTTCAGGACCCGCAGCTCGATGTATGGCTAGAAATTGCCCCAAGGAAATATATTTGGAGATGAGATTATATTAAAATGCATTAAGAACAATTTGAAAATGAACAAAATGTAAGGGGAAAATAAAATCACCTCCATCAGCACCACCACCTCCAAGCATCACTTCATTGGCTGGATTAACCTGCAACGCATCGTAAACCACAAACACTTGTCATCATAAGGTATCGTGGAAGTTCTCATCGTAGACTGATTTTGCTACTAAATCAAGAAAGATTTGTTTTGAATAGTGTGGTTCGTCCTTTGCTTTGAATGTATTTGTAATCTAAATATTTTCCCACTTCTCTTGATTTCTCCTAGTTACTGAAAGCGTTGCTAAAAACATTAACTTGCAACCATTTTCCCCCAACAGCAAAAGCCTACTTTTTTCATCAGCAATGTGATGCCGATATTAAACCTAAGTCCCAAATTTCCAACCAGAAGAAATTGATCACCCGTATTTTCATTCAATTCCCTCTTTCGCACAGCAAAAATTTACACTTCAACACACAAAAACAAATTAGTTAAAGAGAAAGAGAGAGATATTTACAATAGCGTCGGAGGAACCGTCGACGGACCACCGAGTGATGTCGCCTTTCTGAATCTTGAGAACGCTCGACGGAGACATCCGCAGCTCCACCGTACCTTGGCCGTCCCCTCCGCCGCTCGACATCGTAGAAAATCTGGCGGCAATCGTCGTCCCACCACCACCGCAACACCTCGGGCTCGAGATGACGGTAAAGGGCGTCGGCAGCGGTTGATTGACAGAAAAGGGCTTCGATAAATCTCGCGGTCGGCGTAAATTGCGGAAGGTTTTAGGGGAAGGTCGAGCTCCGGTGAAAATGTGTGAGATCCTTGTGTAGAGTGGAGTAGTTACTGGGTTCATCAGTTCATTGATTTTGGAATTGGAATTTGGAATGGATCATTACTAACCATGGTTACAAATAGTGGGGGAAAAAGTAATTTACATAAATTTACTGTTTTTTTATTTTATTTTAAAAAGTGATGTAATTTGTGAAAATAATAGTATAATTATTCAGATATTTTTGTGTCAAAATATAGCTTCGTGATAGAAGGATAAATAATTTTTTTCAACCTGTACTATACGTGTTTTTGGAATTTTCAAGCTAAAATATTTTTTTTTTTAAAATACAACCTGAATTACATATATACAATTATTTGCACACTCGATTAAATTTTGACCGTCTGATCATCAACAAAAAATGACACGTGTATAGTCAAGATGTGGTCGAGCGTGCAAATAGTGTTTGTATATGTAGTTTAGGTTGCATTTTACAACAAAAAAATAATTTAGGTTGAAAATCTCAAAACACTATAATACAGGTTGAAAAAACTTATTTACCCGTCATAGAATCATGATTTTCTAGAATCCCAAAACTTAAAATATTACATTTTCTAAATAACCTCATCCAATTTTTTTTTTTAAAAAAAAAAACCAACTGTGTGTAAAGTATTTGGAAATTGAAAAAGTTATGCACATTTTGCAACTTTAATTAAACAATTCTGATTATATTCTCTCGTAGGCAAAGCAAGCACTCCATTCATAATATCCTTATATGCTATCAGATTGATGTAACAAGGTATTTAATTTAAAAATCACAAAAATTTTATATGTGACAGTTATTTATATTTTAATATGTTGATTATGGGCAGGATCGTCTTTGTGACAATTTAGATGGTCTAATGGCATAATTATTGAAATAATTATGCCTGTTGCTTATATTTATAAATATAGTGAATTTTATTTTTCTTCAAGGAAATGTAAATTTAGGATTTCCTATGGGTGCATATTGAAAATGTATAATGAAAAAGAAATAATTTGATGTATATAACACAAAATGATAGTTAAATATGTTTTTCAATAATAAATTTTGTAACATATTGATGTTGTCAGATTATTGATCCACTAACAACTTATACTACGAAGTGGACAAAAAATATATTTTGTTTCATAAAAGGTAAAAATTGTGAAATGACATAGTATTTTTGCGTTGTTGTTTTAATATGATATTTTAATTTAAAAACATGAATATGAATATCTATTAAAAAATAAGTATGCACTGTTAGTCTGTCCTCTTGAGTCTTGACCCTACAAATACAATTATTATTTGTTGCGAGCTTTCATTGTGCAATTAAAAAATTTAGTTGTGCCTTTATTGAATTGGTTCAGATTTTTTGTTCATCAGTGTACATAAAGTGCACTAATGCTAAGGAGCCAACAGCTAATGGGATAACTCCATGTAGGCCAGTGTAGGACTATTTCAGTTAGTCCGGTCCAGTTAGTAAGCGAACCGGCCGGTTCCTCCAGCAGTTCGAGTTATTTTTGGCTCGTATGAACAGTTCGAGATATTTTCCAGATTTTTAATATTTTTTCGAGCCAAAATCTACGCAGATTAAGTTATAGCAATAAGTTTCGGACTTAGTACAATTTTAATATGAACCCTTAGAGCGTTCTAATTAATCCGGATGAGTTAGAAATTAAAAACAGAGCATCTTAGCATTTTATTGAGTATTCTGAGCATAGTACTTAGTATATTAATTGCTTATATTTTTATACAGTTTGACGAAACATTTTTCAAGTTCAGCACTGCCATTTTCATTTTCGAAAGTACAGGTGGGAGCCTAAACTGGATATGACATTGAGTATAATATCTGATATCATGTCCGAGATATGTATATATATTAAGTTTATTCGCTTAGGGTTGTGGCCGCTAGTTGCATGAGTTTTTCCCCTAAGTTCTGGTGGTGACCGCTAGTTACCTTAATATTCCACTAGAGTGTGTACATGGTTACCGGCCGAGTTTTCAGATTGCCGGGAGATTGAGTTACAGTACAGTTTCAGTTTCCGTTTATATATACTGACAATCATGATATTGTTATAATCGTTTATATATACTGACAATCATGATATTGTTATTATTATTGCTGTTTACTTTAGTATGAGTTTCTGCGGAGCATTTTGCACTTTCGTGCTCACACCCCACTATTATGTTTTTTATTTCAGATGTTCGGGCCGGGCCACAGGCGTGAGTTGAGATGCTGTGATGGTGGTCGTGGAGAAGGAAAGAGTTTGCCTTTCGATGGGAATATCGCCTTCGCTGCAGTATTCCTTTCCTTGTCCTTTCTCTAGTACCCTTCCTTTAATAGCACCCCCTCTTGAAATGAGCAAGGTGTAAGGCAATGAAGCAGTCGGTCGCTTTATTCGGCTCTGCTGGCCGTTTTGTGGACTTTTGTATATATTTTGCCACGCTTTACATTTCCGCTGACGTTATTTTTAGAATCAAACTTGCATGCTAGTTTTCAGATTTTATCGAATCTCTAGACAGGTCTGGTTGACTTACATGCTAGTTTGATTATATTATACATATCTGTTTTTTTTTTATGTCTAAACCAATATTTAGACCAAGTTAAAGAAAAACAGATTTTCAGAATATATAAGTTTAGTAGCATCCCGAGTTAAGTTAAATGATTTCGAAAAATTTATATGTATTTTCAAAATAAGTTGCAAAAATTTTACTCTGATACTAGTAAGTTAGCGGGGTGTTACAAATGTGGTAATAAAAGCAGCACAAAACACATCAAAATTAATGCCACGTAAAATTGATATTCAACAACATTAATTAACCATCCCCAACCTCAGTATTCTTCATATTTGTACCGAGTTGAGGAAAATATATTACAAAGTACAAACTCATACACAGCACCATCTTAACATCTCTCAAATTAAAAAAAAAAATACAAAAAACTAAAAAAGAAAGTAATTCCTATAACTAAACACATTCATAATAACACACATTAATCATAAGGCCTAAGCGGGCGCTAACCTGCCACCACTGCTCAAGAACCACCACACGCTCCATCCATTTTTTTCCGGCAACAATTTTCCGGCACCTCACCCTTTTACGCCGTAGGCGAATTTCAATTTTTTCATAATTAGGTCAATAAAAAAAGTATCAACCTTCATCAACCACACTTTTTTTTTTTTTGCTTATATATCATAAATTAGGCAAAAACTAAAATTGGCCCCCTTGGAACGTTTGTCCGAACTGCCACCCAGCTGGCGCCACGTCGTAGCTCGTGAGTATCCGCCCGTCGCCAGTCGTGATTTGAAACGATAGCGCCTGCCCGTTGAGGTTCGAGTTGCTCTGCCAATTTTGTCCCCAATTCCTCGACATTGCTTGCCAGCCTGTCTTCGACCCTTTAACCGAAACCGACTGCACGTCCCCTGAGCCGCCTACATTAGTCACGAGCACCAAGTTGAAAAACGAGTGCCCGTTGATCGTGAACCTCACCCCACCCTTCTTTCTGCAGGGCACCCTGTTTCCAAACCCATTAAAAAACTCGTAAATAATGGTAAAAAATAATCGTAATTTAGAAATTAAAATAGTTCCAATAATTTTTCAATCGGTACATTACACCATCAATTAGTGCATATTACGGATTTTGACAGTGAAAATTCTATTTCGAGACGGAAGTAAAACGACTGAAAGCCCGTATACAGATTATTAATGTATTTCTCAGGCACATTTAGTGTAATTCTTTACGTACCTTCGGAAAGAAACCGGGACAATGCCAGCTCGGTACTGGGCGATCTGCAGGAAAGCCGGCTGGGCCAAGTCGAAGTGCTGACGTGGCGGGTTGCACCACCCGCCGTCGTCGCTGGGTAGGGCCGGGTTTGGCGGGCAGAAGTTGGTGGCGGTGACGGTGATGATACCCGAGAGACACCACTTGGGATCGCCGGCGCACGTCAGCTCGTAGCACGCGCCGCAACTGAGACCGTTGTTAAACAGGGCTGTACTCAGGGCTGCGGTATTTGTACCATATCCCTGGCTGTACAAATTGCCATAGCCACATGCGCCACCTGCAATTAGTAGTAGTAGTTCATGAGGGAATTTCTTGGATCAACTTTTTGTGTTGACCCAAATGAAATTTGATATAGTTGGTATAGTTAAATATATGTATCAATATTGTTTTCCCCCTTTGTGTAATAGCTTTGGTTTGTGGGCCCGTGATGAATTGAGGTTTAAGCCAAAAATAAAAAATGAAGCGGACCCCACTCAATTTGAGTATATGTACACACCTTTATGTACATTTATTATGTACTTGTAGCATTTTTCATTTATGAATGTCTAGTGTTCAGGTCGGATTAGCTGAGTGAAATGTGTCATTGAGTGATATAGAAAGATAAAATACGAAAAATAATTTTTAACGTATGACCGTACAATACGTGTTGATACACGTAAAAAAGAAAGTTTTATTAAAATAAAATTGCGTACCCATTGTGCCCGATGCATCCCCGCCGCCATAGAAAGTGGCGTGAGCGGTACTCCATCCTCCATAATCGCCATAAGTACCGTGAACGAAAATGGAGAGAATTACTAGAGAAATTAGAGAAAACTCCATTGAGAGTTGAGAAAAGATAGCTAACTAAAAATGTGAAATGCTAATGTGTAGTTGAGAGAGATGGAGATGAAGGCTTGAGCTTAGTACAAAATGTGGAGCACGAGAGCTCTATTTATATAGAAGAATCACCTTGGGACCAACAAGAGAAAGATAAATGAAAAAAATAAAAGATAATGAAATGAAAATAAAATATAAATTAAAGTATAGGATTGTGGAAAGTGACAAATGAGCATGCAGCAATCAGAGCTGAGAGCCATAAGAAGTGAATCAAAAATAAATTTAGGTTTTTACAAAGACCAAAAATGCACATGCTTTTGTTTCAACTTGAACTGTACCAACTGCTAATCTCATTGGCCCTACAAGCACATGCATGTCTTGCAGCTGCTTTTTTTTTTTTATTATTATTTTTTTTTTTAATTATCAAAATATATAATTATATATTGGATGTATGGATATGGATATAATAACAATTAATAAGTTACAGAATTTCTGATTTTGGTATTAGTTGCGAGAAACCTGTTTCGAGATTGGAGATTTGGAGCCTATGCAAAGTATATACCATATTTATTTCTTTGAAATAAATATTTTAGAATATATACCATGCAATAGTGTGTTGTGCGTGTAAGCGTGTGGCAAAGAAGCGGAGTAACAAATCAAATATTAAATAAGTATACCTAAATAATGTACAAAGGCCTGGAATACTTTTTTAGCATTTTTATACTCCTAGTGACTGAAAATAATAAGCTATGGACTTTAAGAAATTGAGATGCAAATGTCAATTAATTAGTCCCAATAAAATTTATTCACTGCATTTGAAGCTGAATATTATTTTTTCAATATTGTCAAAAAGAGTTATAGTATATATAATCTGCTCAAGTTTTATTTTTATTTTTAATTATCATTATCATATTCTTGCTGGTTCCTCTAGCAAGCTTGTACATGAACTTATAATTTGAAAATATGAAGAAATCATAAAAAAATTTGTACACAAATTATAAACTTTGGTAATCGGTACTAGTACGAATTCCGTGCGATGCACGGGTAAGAGATATTCATTAATATTTATAAATTAAAAATGTTCATTATTTAATATTCATAAATTAAATATATAGAATCAATATGTAATGTAATTTACCTCTATTAATTTATTGACAATGTTAAATGAAATTTAAATTGTACAGAATTACATAAAATATGTCCATTTAAGATTAGTACACAACTCGTATGGTGCATGTAACTGATAATAAATTACATTATATTCATTTCAAATTAAGTGTCATTTTAAAATTTATATTCAATAATTAGATTTGATTACAATGTGAGTCCATAAAATAATTATTTTCGTAAAAAATTTCATATCGTTAAAAATTTATGTCAATAATAAGTATAATTGTAAAACTTATATTGTTTCATTAGTCAAAATAAATTTATTTTTTATGAACTATCCAAATAAAAAAATTTAAGTAGTTGAGTAATTTATTAAACTATAAATGATCGACTATTTCATTTACGCCCTAGTTAATATTGATCGTAAGTTATGAATAATTATTATTTGACTTTTAAATATGGAACCTGAATTTGGACTATACAATAAATTTTCTTATATATACAATAGATTTGGATTATACAATAAACTATATATATATATATATATATATATATATATATATATATCACAATATTCTAGACTTGACGTCAGTTACCTTAACATTCAAATTTATCAATTAATTCTCTAGAACTAAATTACAAACTTTAAATTTTATTAACTATTATTTGTTCAAAAATCTTTCTGATTTTCAAGAGAATACATACCAATTTGTCTAATTATTATTAATATCTTATGGAAAGCTATTATGGAAATATGTTAAAATTTTAGAATTATATCACCTTGATTTTATAACAAATCAATATAAAATTCGACTTTCATACTCATACAAAATTTTATTCATACAACTTATTTTATTTTCAAATACAATTTTATCCATACCAAATAAAAATTCATACTATTTAAAGTCAGACATTTCATACTAAAATAAAACCGCCCACTTTATACCATAAATTTGGATATTTATTAATAACAACACATTTCTTACCAAAAATAAAAATGTTCATTAGATACCTTAAATAAAATCGCTCACTTTGTACAAAAATATAATTTACTAATTTTGTCAATTTTATACATAAATTGATTAATTAATTTCAAGAGGCGTGAATTTTGAAATTTTAAAAAAAGATTATTAATTTTAGTAGTTTTAAATACAAACCTTTATATATATATATATAGATACAAATATAGATATGTGTTGACTTATGATGATATGCATTGACATGATAAAATACTATGTTTATCTGCTAAAATGAAAAATATTAAATCAAGTTTTATAAAATTGTTACCATAAAAAGTGGATTTGTGATTATCTATTTTATTTTAACATTTTAATTTTTAACATCAATTGGAAATGTGATTTTTTAAATTATTTTGTTTCGTTATGAAATAGATTTAGTTTTCCACATCATAAGCAGTTTTCCAAATGATAAATATGAATACAATATTTTGTTTTATTATGAAATAAATTTAGTTTTTCAAATAATAAGCAATTTTCCAAATGATAAATATGAATAGCACACCATGTAAATCAGATGTTGGCCAAAAAAATCGCTATAACATAAAAAAGGATCGTGTATCAAAATTTTACCAAAAGCAATTATAAATTCAATCTATTACTCGAATTGTAAATTTTAATTCTTACTACTTTCGGAGTATTATATATATATAGATGCAATTAATTAACAACTTTCAGAGTAATACTTGGCTCAACATTGATCAATTAGTTTGTTTAGTTAAGCTCTAATTACACGCTAACCAAGCAAGGGATGAATTAATTGATCAGTCAAAGGTGGGCTAGAAAGTCAATTTAGGACAAATTGGTGGCAGTGAAAAAAATTGTGGAAAATGATGGGATCATCTGAGATTTTTGAGCCATAATTTATGGTGTGATCTCCCACGTGTCAACTTGTTCCACCAATTAAATGCATTTTATTGAGATTGCCAATTTTAGGTTCTACTATTTTATAGTTTCACAATTGGTACCTGGCTGGATTGAATAAGCCTTGAAATTTATTTCTTTCTTTTTAATCATTCAGAGAGAATTATAAATAGAAAGACCATTTTAAAAATGATGATAAATTTAAAGAGATGTTGTATGATTATAGTTGCAAATGGGATATCATAATTAAAAAAATTATTAATTAGTAACTGCTTGTTGAAAATATATGAGCGAATAAAGTGATATATCCACATAAGTTTAAAATCTTACTAGGCTATGTAAAATTATGTCGAATTAATATGTAACCTAAGAAAATCAAATAAACACATAAAATACGATGATACTTATAACAATTGAAAATTATTTTACCCAAATTGCCAAATTCATGTAATAAAACCAAATTCATGGGTAATAGCAAACATAACTCTACAAAAATTTGAGCTACCTAATGTGAACATTTGAAAATCATATAAGGTACTATCACTATTTAATGTTGTGATGGCGATTTAAGAGCATTTTGTCGGTAATCTCTCATATGAATAATTAGTTAAGTTTGTCCAAATCGACAATTAAGTAAGAATGTGGTTTTCAATGATGAATTTGCGAATTAATTCTCACTAATTATTCGGAGAATTCAACCCATTGTAGAGCTATTAAACCAAGCGAGTCGTTTATAAGCTCGGTCCGACGAGCTCTTTTGATAAACGAGTCAAAATCGAGTTCGTTAAAAAACTCGTTTAGTTAACAAACAAGGCTTATTAATTTTTTATATAATTTTTCATAATTCAACCTCTTACAGCTTGAATTTGGCTTATTAATCATGATTAACCAGCCGAACTCGTTATTCATTTTCAACCGACAAGTCTATATTTTAAAATTACATTAATTCGTAATTTCTTGTGTCTCAACGCCTCAATTGTCAACACGTGGTGAGCTCATACATCCAATATCCATAAAATAAATTATCATTTCCAATACAAAATGCATTAAGGTTACTATCTCTTTGTCATCGTCCAAATGATCAAGCAAATTAATAGTTATTGTAATCTTAATTAATTAAATTTGATTATAATTAGACGTTGTCACATAGCCACATAGGGTACAAGTTATCATAAAAATTGGGTTGAAAAAAAGATTTTGTTAAGGGGACCTACCACGTTAGGAGCACATGCAATACTCCACAAAATATGGCCTTTTCTATGTATCATTATCATAATTTGTCTGACATTCAGTACCCCATAACGTTATATATAAATTCATTAAATTGAGAAATTGATTGACTTTTATAGAGGCAATTGACATGAATCAGGCAAAGAAAATCAAACATATGTGCTGCTAGTATTATTATTTGTGATATATTTATATTAAAGTTCTCTTTTTAATGTTTCAATAGTACTTTTAAAACCGGTAAACTGATTTAATTGATGTAAAGGTCGTGCCTATAGGATGTAGGCTTAAAAGGGATGTCGAACTTTAGTTATAAACACCTACAAAATTTAGGTCTTCGGTTTAGATTCTGCATATATATTGCCACCCTTTGTTATCTTGATTTCTGACTAATTATTTAATTTTATCGTCTATTTCAGAAGATTATATCTAAGTTTATTCGAAATTAGAATTCAGAAAGCTATCCTAAACAACCATATTGGTTTGTTTAACTTCGGAAAATCAATAAACTATAAGCTCACAATTTATACAAGTCAGACGTAACACACATAAACTCAAATTATATATGAAACAACAGCCGACACAATTTCTTATATATGGATCTAATTTATTTTATTTATATTTTTGTTTGTAAGTCCATTATTTTATTTTTTATTTATTTATTTATTTATTTTTTTGTCATGATTTCATTCATAGCATGCTCTAAATCTCGTCTCGCAGCCACAGTATCAGAGGAAAATTGTATCACTTGAACAAAAGTCGCGTGCATTTAATATTTTCTCATTTTCTATAGGCGAAAACTAATTTTTGAATTTTATATTCTTCTCTTTGTGATAATAAGTCAAGGACTCCAACAATCGGTGCATAAGTCAAGGTCACAAAAGTCTAATGTTTAATTATTTTAGACATTTTTGTGGTTCAGAAAAAAAAAAAAAAAATGCTTATTTCTATACTCAAACAATGTTTTACAACATAGATTAACTGTAAAAATGAATTCTTATTAATCAATCAAAGTTGCAACTCCATCAATACTTTAAAATTTTCTAGTTTCTGAAGCCACAAGTATGTCAATAAATGTGTACTTACAAATCTATAGGACTTTTTTCACAACTTCTAGGAGTAAAAGTTCATCATAATAGTCTATATTAATGGGTTATCTTTTATACATAGTTTGAAAATCGATTTCGAAATAATTTTTATAGAGCTAAAATAATAAATTAGGTAATATATATGTATTTAAAACGTATTAGGTCATCATATTTTAGTCAGGGACCCGCAAATAGGAAAACACTGTCAACATCTACAGAAATTTCAGTAGATGATTCCCTAATTGCCTCAATATTCATCCATGAATTGAAGTATTGATATTAAGTCGGATCATTTGTATGGTTTCATAGCAAAACTGTATACCACCGCATGTACCACTAACGAATCTCTTCACCTATGCTTCAAACTTATTCAAAAGACTATCTACACATGTTGTTGATGAGATGAGTATGGTAAATATATGTAGTGATCCAAAATTTCTTGAATAGACAAATCATTGAGTACCTAAAATAGCATCCACAAAAGGCATGTGGATTTTATCCAAATGTTGTTGTTTAGGGACCAAAAGGTTTTATGATATTGAGGGTGGTTCATTTTGTCCAATATTCCCCACTTGTTATCAAGACAAAGGGTGGTTGCATTTTATTACATGGACCCCTAACTAACTTGCACAAGAGGTCCCAAAACATGAAACCCTTTGCTTTGATATAATATATGGTCACTTTTACTAGCCAACCTAAAAGGGGCCCTCTTGATTTTGCAACTCAAATTCACACTTTTCCTACGTTTGCCATGTGCAATAGTAGGCCTCAATTGTCCTCTTTGTGAGGTTACAAGGGAAGTTAATATGGAGGACCAAGCAAAAGATTTCGAATTTTTTTTATTTTTATTATAATTGTACGTGGAATAATAAATGTTGAACTCAGATCGATCATATCCAATTCATACAACATAGTGTTTAATGATCGATATATATATATATAATTATTTTTTTATTATATTTTTATGAAGGTGTGTAACAAACATCTGAAGATGCTTATACAATTGTACGCATTTTTTTTCCAACATAATATAAGAAGAATAACAAATTTTGAACTCAGATCGATCATATGCTCCAGATAAATTACACAACATAGTGTTTAATGATCTATATATATACGGTTATAATGCTAGTGATTTGATAAGTTCAGATTATTAGGATGGGCTGGATTATTCATGACTTGTAAACAAAAACGTTTTTGAAACATGATTCTTGCCTAATAGCTGATAATGTTTCATCTGTTCAACTACATGGCATATTGGCATTATCAATGGTGATCATATCCAATTAGGAGTGGATATCATAAATGAACGAACATGTCATGTTTTGGATGTTAGATCAAATGCTCTTTAACTCTTATATTCTTTTTTCTTCAAGTGATCATATACAAAGTCGTATCTTAGTTACGTACGTAAGTTGCAATGTTCTAAACAATTAATCAAGACAAATTAATGTGCCAGAGTCTTATTACAACAGACAGACAAGACAGCAAAAGCTACAGAGTCCCGCCTCAATGAACAAAAGCTTCACTCATTAAGTGAAGCAAACTAGAGAAAAAAAAAATAAAAAAATAATAAAACATCAGACTTGAAAGCTGAGAATGCAACACTGGAGGAAAACTCTAAAAAAAAAAATGAAACAGAAATAATTAGAAAACCAGCTCCCGACACAAAGAACAACAATACCAACGAATATTATGCGAAACTAGTCGAGGAGAACCTAATAATATCCATTGTTAAGCTGGAAAAGAACGGGTCGAAACGAAAAAAATAAATAAATAAAAAATGAATCCGCATGTCAAAAAAGGGTCGTCAGTCTATGAACAAGTAAACAAATGATGAAACGAGCATTTTTTTTTCAGGAAAAAAAAAAACCAGAGGGGTTCAGAATGTGGTGCTGCTTTCGCTGGCAGAGATAGCCGGGCCTTCAGATTTCACGAGGTGTGGGCCCCGGTTGCTGATATCAAGGCCCTGAAAGCGTCCAAGTGGATCCTGGTTTGACGGGCCGGGAATGCCCTGAACGTTAGGGGGTGAAAGCATTGGGTGGTGGCTGGAGATGCCAGCTGGGAGTGTCTGAAAGTGTTGTTGCATTGACAAATTACGAGTATCGTTCGGACACGGCTGCGGAAAGAAAGTTGATTGGCTGTAAGAAAGTTGATGCATAGGTAAACTGAAGGTCTCAGATGATGATGATATTTCTCCTGTCGCGATCTTCAGTCTCTCGACTTCTTGCTTCAGTGCTTCATTAAGGGCTGCATA